TAAATTGCGACTAAGGATGGGTGAATGAAGTGGATTATTGGATCTATTTCGAACATTTTGACTCTCACTCTTTTTCTTCAGCAAGGAGTACACGCGAGTAATCAAAAAACTCGTACCCTCCACGTACTCTCACTTTGGAGTGTTTTTCACTCGCGAGTAAAATCAACCAAATCGGAGCTCTGATCTCAAGCAACTGCAATAGTCATTAACCCCACCGCTGTGTTTCCCATTAAATAAAATTGAATTTAAAAAATTAATTGTTTATTAATTTCCTTTTTGTTTTTTATTTTATTTCTTTTCTTTTTTTGTAACATATGTATGTTTTTGTTCGTTTATTATTATAATAAGGATTTGTTATAGTTGATAACATATTGCGAAACTATATTTAAAATGTTTATATATTTCTTTTTTTGTTTTGTTTACTAATTTATTTACTATATAATTAAATTAAGTGTAAATGGGTTTTGTGATGAATTCGATTTCTTTTTTTATTTAATTTTGATACATTTACAATAATCGTGATAATGTTGTTGTTTGTTTACATTTCTCATTCTTCGCTCTTTCTTTCATTCTTTTGTTTTTTATGAAATTTGTATTAAAAAATTATTTTTAATTTTACATGGAATGCAGCAGCTTAATTTTTGCTATATGTTTGTATATGTACTTTGTTCTCATTTGTTTGTTTTAAAAAAAACAAAATGTGTAGGAGTAAGAAGAAGAGGAAATTAAACAATGATTTTTTTTTAAATTTTTTTATTATGTATATTTGTTTTTTTTTTATTTTATTAGAAATATATGTTATGTATAAATTGTTCTTATGGTGCCTTATAACTTAAAAGCGAGTGGGAGATGCCCATAATGTTTCTTTTTTTTTGTAAATTATAAATAAAAATTAATTATGTTTTAATTAGAAATTAAGAAAACAATAAATTTGTGCTAAAATATTTACTAGTTTAATATTTGTTCGTTTTGTTTTCGATTGATGTTTTTTGTTGTAATAACTAAAATTTAATTTTATCCACATTTTTTTTTAAAAAACACATAGTATTTGTAAATGATGCACTAACCTTATTGCATATAAATATTACATTATAAATAATAATAGTTATTAATCTAATTTTCTTTTCATTTTAGGAGAGTTCTAACTATAAAGTTTTTGTATTTATTTTTTTTGTTGTTTTTTATTATATACTAAGTGTCTCGTTGAGAATATGTGTGTTTTTATACTAAAGGTAACAAAATTTTGTTTTCTTATAGACAGCTGGGACATGAAATTTGAGTATATTATTTCGGTGTAACTAAATTAAACATTTGTATATACTTAATTTAAATATACTTAAATGTATAATTTGTATTACCATTTTTTTGTTCTTTTAACTTAAAAATTTGAACAACTTTTTTAACCTGATATTCTTGTTTTTTTTTTGTTTCCTTTTCATATTTTTTACTATATATACTACTTAAAATTATTGAAATAAAAATTATTTTATTAACATTTTTACAAATTTGTATTATATTTATATGTTTTGTAATGGAGTATTTTGAATCTATTGCAAATCAGTTTATTTTTCTTATAAAACAAAATCATAAATTTATCACTATTTGTATGTTTTTGTTGTTGTTGTTTTGTCTAAAAACACAAACATGTAATATTGCATTTAAGTGAAAAAAAAAGAAAATATTCTATTTTACTAATTATTAACATAAAGGGAAAACATCCTAAAGACAATCGGCCCTGTGTTTCCGAATTTGTTTTATTTTTGTTATGTTTATTTTTTGGATGGTATTCAATAACTATTATTTACGCTAATATTATTTTTTTTAATATGAATGCAAAATAAATTTTAATTTGATGTAAAGCATTGAGTGGCAAATTTAAATAAATTACAACAATAAAATAATTCCAAATGTTAATAATAAAATCACTTAAATAAGTTTTAATAATGCGAATTCTTTAAAAGATAAACATGATTGATATTTACAAAAAAATATTAATTTTGAAAACGAGAAAATGTATTTATTTGTTTTGTTATTAATAAATAATTTTATAAATTGGACTTTAAGTACACAAAAGCTTGAAAATATTTTTAATAAATAAAACGAAATAGAGATGCTGATTTGAGAACGTTAAGAAATTTTGAAAGTAATAAAAATTTAATTTTATAATCATAAGCGATATAGATAGCTACTAGACCCGCCTTAACTCCAGGGGTCGTCTTTATCGACCATGCGTCTGTCTGTAAGACAATAGTTTTCACATAAATTATTGGCAAGACGAATTACCCGACACTCAATTTTTTTCGAAAATTCGATTCGAATATCTACTCAAAATAATGGAAATTATTATATATTTCAGTATGAAGAGGCTAGCCCAGTATTTAGGCACCAGGTCAAACCCGGAGATTCAATAATGAAGTAACTTTGTCGAGGTTCAACCGCTATGTCATAACAGAGAGCGAAACATGTTGAATATATATTTTTAACTCTGATAAAATATGAGGGTTTTATTTTCAGGTCCTTGACCTCAGCCCAAGAATATCAGCCACTGTAAGCTTTTACAACATTCCGAGCTAACGCTTGCATATGGAAATATGGATATTTCGCAGAAAAACGCAGTAGAGACAGAGTTAGAAACCACACCATCGGACTTAATATTAAATCGATAATCTATGATGGTCATGTCGGGAAAATACCTCTAAAGAGATTATTAAAACAAGTTTCGGAAGCTAGAACTAGTTCTGATGGTTACTGTTACCAAAAAAAGACATGCGTCCTTTGCGCTCAAATGGGGAAACTGTGACACATGAATATCGAATTGATGATGGGGATGACCGTAGGGACCCTTTTTGCAATGTCATGCGACGATTTTGGAACCTAATTTTAATTTGCCGTTCAGTCAGACAGAGGGCTTGAGCGATTTCGATGCGAATCCGGCCGGTCAGGTAACGATTGAAACGAAATTCTTTTCAAGTTTCAGTGTCTGGTTGCGGGTTTAAGAGATCCGTTGTCGTTCTGTTTCGCCATTGGCAAGAACAAACAAAATGATCTAATCAAGAATCGAGACCTGCTAGAATGCAAAGCAAAGGAAGAAGAAAAACTTGGATTAACACTGTTAACAATTTATAAAAAACGTCATATAGAACCCATAACAGTCTAAGCTGCTAGTCTTCGCGAAAAATCCCTACAATACAAGAGGTCCTGAATAAGTAGTTCATTTGGGGGTTTTAAATTTTTTTATAAAAAAATAAATTTATCAGCAGTTTTAAGGAATTATTGTTCTTAGTGAGAATTTTGAAGAATTGAAATTTAATTAAAAAAGTTATCATTTTTAATTTATATATTAAAAAAAATTTTAATCAAAATATCAAATTTCGGGTCTTATTCCACTAATTTGTTCAGATTTTATTCGTATACGTTGATGTGCTTATTGTTCTGACCGATTCAATAATTTCTATAAAACAAAATTTTATTTTTTGTTTTTAAATTATGTTTATCAAAAATTATATTAATAATATTTAAATATTATATTAATAATATTTAAATATTTAATTCAAATATTATAACATCTCATTTTTGATTTTAAAATTTCTTCACATTTCGATACTATAAAAACAAAAAAATCCATAACTTTTTTATATATAAATAATTTAAAAATATAAATTTATTAAAAATATGTCATAAAATTTTTAAATTATAAACAAAACTTATAAAATCATAACGTTCTCAAAAGGCAAACTAATAGTTTGAAAAGCACTGCTGTAAGTAAAAAAACTTAAAGGTTCTAACAAAAGCTAAAGTAAAATTTCTAAAGCACAGTATTCGTGGTGTGTGTCTATGATAACGATGCATTGCCAATCATTTCAAAATAAAAAGGGGAAAGAGAAACCAAAGTAAAATTGCCAAACAAGAAATACAGTTTTAGGAACCAGTGTTGCCATTGGTCATCCACATTCTTATTGGAATTTGAGATATATGTATGTATATGAATCTTCGTTCTAATTAAAATTTACAAACTACATAGACTTAAATATATGTTTTTTTTTATATAATAAAACTTAACCTATTAACACTAAGGCTCTTTTCGAATACTGATTGGATACAAATGGTCTATCATACTGGACGGTTGATGAAAACAAAATATATATGTATATAGAACAAAGAAATAATTTACAAAAATAATATTCGATTTTTAAATACAAAAAAATAAATTTCTTGAACTCCGTGGGGGCGGAGGAAACAGAAGAATATGCCAGTAGTATAAACCAATCAAAGGCAAGCTTTATGTGTGTGTGTCGGTGTGATTACAATATATTATCAAACACCCCAAAATATGGAAAACGCTTTAATAAATCAAACATAAAATTTAGTTTTCATTTTTTTAGGAAAATTGAAACTCAAAGAATATTCAAAGAAATAAATTTTGAAGCGTTTTCATATTTCTTTAGTTTGGGGTGGATAGTGGTAAAGCTTGCCTCTGCATTTGGATTTAGCTCAAATCAGTTGTATTCGGAACTTCATAAATTGGATGATATTTGCTTATGATCACATCTTGAATATTCTTGAGTTATGTACGTGTGTGAGTATATTTCTCAAACAAACAACAGCGGCTGATGTCATTGGTATTGATTTGGGGTCACAGAGATGGAGTTGGAGTGTAGGTAGGTCGGTCGGTAGTTAGGATGTGCAGAGGAATTTCTTTCCATCGTCATCTTCTTCTAGCAACAGTACAAGTTATCACCTTCTGTGCCTACTCCAGCCGAACTACTAATCTCCGTATCATTGTCACGTAGACAGGTGACATTGGTATTTAAGAGGTCGGTATGTAACATACCGTCATTTAAATCGTATGTCTCCTGTTTACAGAGTTCATCGTGTCGGACGTTGTGATGCGGTTGCTGCGGCTGATGGTGATGTGACCCTGATGGTGGTGGTGGTGGCAATTGTGAAGGATGTTGTCGTGTCTGATGATGATGGAGACGTTGTTGAACATATGCTGTATCCTCTTCATCATCCCCATCATCATTGTCGTGTATAACACCCTCTATACAACTACCACCACTACTACTGGCCACATTATCATCTAGGTGTGAAGACAACCCGGCCGATGACATTAACCTCTGTTGCGGTGCAATAATAACTTGAGATCAGAATTCTTGTGGATATTTAACACAGTCGGCATTTGACGCTGAAGACGCCACGGCCGCCGCCGAGGCAAACAGAGCATTCGCCCCGCCACCGACGGCCGCTGTGCCGCCGACAACGCCAACACCTACACCCACACCGCCACCACCAGTACCGCCCAAATCTTGAGCGTTCTGTGTCTGATAACCGCCAGCAACACTGGCTGCTGCTGCCGCCTGATATGGTTCCTGATACAACTGATTGAGCCTCTAACCAGTACCCGAAAAGTGCCACGCGTCCTATGCGCTCAAATGGGCAAACTGTGACGGATGAATATCGAATTGATGATAGGGATGACCGTAGGGACCCATGTGGTAGGGTACAATGTTCATGGAGGCCATTTTGTGTTCCTTTTTCCATTTCATGCGACGATTTTGGAACCAAATTTTAATTTGGCGTTCAGTCAGACAGAGTGCATGAGCGATTTCGATGCGTCTCCGGCGGGTCAGGTAACGATTGAAATGGAATTCTTTTTCAAGTTCCAGTGTCTGGTAGCGGGTATATGAGGTCCGTTGTCGTTTTGTTTCGCCATTGGCATTGACAGTACCTGGAAAAGGGGGAAAAAGGGAGGAATTGATTAGAAATTATATTTTAATAAAAAATTTAGTATATTTGAAATATAAAAAATAATTATTTGTTAAGGAGAATGAATTCAAAATGAAATGAAAATTTAGAAATATTAAAATTAAATATTTTAAAAATTATAATATGTACCAAAACCAGTGTTGCATACTTTAAGGCATAATATTTAACCCAGATAATAACAGAGATTACTTCTTAAAAATCTTAAATATAATTTTAAAATTTAAGTAATTTATTTAAAAAATTATATAATATACAACATCAACATAAAATAATTTATAGAAATTCACTAAGATAATGATTTTTTCAAGCAATGATTTAGTCATTTTTCGTGTTATTTTAAAAGGACGATGGCGCCAAAGGAGTTAATATCACAAGTTCAATAAAAATGTATATTACAAATAATAATCCTTGAGGTATGCAATACATTTTGTATAACTTTCTTTTATTAAGAACTTCCCTTCCTCAAAATGTATATATTGAAACATCATTTATTTTGACCTAATTTTTACCTTCAAATTCCACAAAAAATCCCAATGACCCAGAACAATCATAAAATATTATGAAACAAACAACCAACCCTTAGTAGCCATCAGAAAACCGACAGCAAAAAAAAATCAAACAAATTTAGAAAACATTTGTCAATATTCCCAAATAAAATAAAGACCACAAGAAAATAACGAACAAAAAATATCCAATATAAAAATGTCTATACAAAAAAGAGAACAACAACTCCTCTTCACATTTTTTTATTTTTTGATTTTTTTTCTTCCGAACGCCAACATAGTCTGACTCTTGTCTGCCTGGTTAACATACTTATGTGGCTTTAAGCGTAAATATTTTCCCCTACGATACGATGATCATAACAGCTGTCATATTTGATTATATTAAAAATAAACGTCAACTATAGACAATAGAGAGGCAGATAGACATACAGACAGACATTCAGTTTAGACAGCTAATAAGGCGGCTGCCGGCAAGTATGTTTTGTTGCACGTAGTACGGTAAGTATTGAGTGTATTATGGCTAAAATAGCATTTATGGTTGTTGCTACTTTTGTTTTTAGTGTTTGTTGTTGTTGTTTTTGGTTTCTGTATTAGAACGCCCCCTCATTATAGTCAACGCGTTTCAGACGCCCCTCAAAGTATACAAGAAAAAAACAGCGAATAAGTCGACTACACAAACAATGAAAATACACGAGCAAAAAAAATATATCGCGAAAAGCGTTTGCATATGAAAAATGTAACGGTAAATTGTACCACCACTCACTTGCCTACCACACACTTAAAAAATAACAAAAATATGTAAATTTTTTCACATTAACAAAATCGCTTAGGCTCGTGGCATTTTGACTGGTTTCGGGTTGTTTTTCGGTGTGGTGAGTATTTGGCTGTTCTTTTGCCACTCTTCTTCCCAATTTTCTTATGGCGAAAAAAATGATACAAAGACAATCGTTTTGAAGAAAGTTCCTCATTTAACTTGGGGTGTTTTTTTTTTCTTTTTGTTTCCTTACAATTCGTTTTGGCTTTTGACAACAATAACATTAGACACAATTTTTGGTAACAGATACAAATGTTTCATTGTTATTTGTTACAAGAAGAAGTGGCTAAATTATAGTTTGACACGTAATTTTTATGAAGTGAGCAGCATCGTTAAGGTTTAATATCAGGAACCAAAGTTTGAGAAGGATATGGTCTCTTAAGTGATTCGGAAATATGTTAACGACTGCAAAATGCTCTATATACTCAATTAATGATTAATTTTTTGTGCATAAAAGAATGTTTATGAAAACCAATGTTTATGTATTATTTCATGACATATAGGAAGTTTTTCATATAATTGTTCCTTTTTTTGTAAGAGTTGCTGGAACTCTTTTTCGCATTTTTGATTGAAATTTGTAGCAAATATTGTATTTTTTGTGCATGTGGTTCTAATTTGCATTCACAAAACGAATTTCTATGTATAATTTCATAAAACACGTGCATGTATTTCCTATTTTGAAAATATGTAACGCATATTGCCTACTTTTAGGAGTAAATCATAATAAACAAGATATAAATATAAATAAATTATTTATCGATAGGATAACGTATTGTAATGAATTATATTCCCCTATGTTCAAACCTTTTTAAAGCCCTTTATTGCTTCTTATGCCATCTGTAGAGCATAGCTAGCATATTTTTTTTTTTTTTTTAACTATACCACATTCTCGTTTTTTTTCAAGTGTTTACAAGCCCCAGAGAGGGAAACGATAAAAAGCCAACCAAGCTCCCTTTTTTAAATTGGAATGAGGAAATAATAATATTTGTGATTTTCATGTGATTTGATTGTAGCAAATAAAAACATGTTAACGCCTAGTAACGCCTCATTGTTGTTTTTTGCCATTCGTTTAACTTTCCAATAACAGACACTTATGTGCGGTTGATGGGCATAACCGGGGGATGAATATTTTGACGGGGTAAAATGTAATAAGTCAATTTGTGAAATGCATACATATTCCTTATTTTGTGTGTGGGATCCTAGACGAACGAAAACCACCTTTACATGTGGAGGTTTGTGTGTAGACACGACCTACATCAAAAACAAACCACACAAAACAGTTTTTTTCTTTTTTTGAAAAATATAAAATTAGACTTCCTTTCCATTTTAAAATTGGGCTATTTTTAATGGAAAAAACAAACGAACACACAAACCAAACCCCTTAACGCCAACATCCAAAACATGCAAAAACAGCGTCGGCACTGCAAAACCAAAACCCGACCAAACTGTTGTCAAAATGTACATCAATCACTGGGCCAAATATCTAAATGGAATTTCCGATTAAACTTAAAATTAATTATCTCTCATTTAATTAAAGTGTATTTAAGCATAGCAACACAAAAAAAAAAGAAAAACTACCAAACGAAACCACACAGCCCGCTCGGTCGGAACACACCACACTGACAAGACATCGAATGTCACTAAAGCGAAACATTGGCTACACTGGTTGCTGGCAACATCCAAAAGATTAGATGGCGGTTTTTTAGTGTTTTTTCGGTGGGTCTTTGAAAAGCGCGCCAAAACAAATTCACAGAGAGGGAAATTGTTGTCTTCCTCTCCAATCCGTTTTTTTTGTTGTTTTCATGGGCGGGTGGAAACCTATATATTTTTTCCATGGTTGGAATTTTCTTGTTGTTATTATTGTCTATCCTTGAAAACTAAAAACTAAACTTTAAAAATAAATAAATGAAAGAAGAGTTTGAAAGAAGACACAACACAAAACTAATGGACAACTCATAACAATGCAGACAGTAAGCAGACTTTTTTCGAGAGTGTGTGTGTGGGTTTAAATAAAACGACAAGAGAAAGGGAAGAAGAATAACCCTAACATACTGCATGTATACAAACATCCCCACACATATGCTTTAAATAATTTGGAAGTATTATCCATCTAAACAACCATATGTTGTCTATGTCTATCCATCACTCTTGTTTTGAAGATCATACAAGTTTTAGGTGTTTTGTTCTGAATTTTTTTTTTCAATTCAAACATTTTTTTGGCTGAATGCTTTGTGAACGGTATTGTAATATATTAAAAATAATTGCAATGTTTGAGTATTTTTCTGTAGGCAATATATATGTATATTAAGCGTGGAACTCCTAAAAGTAGGCAATATACATTTTAATGTTATTAATTAAATTATTATGAAGCAATATTTATTATGAATGAAAATAAGAAATAATTTTTGTGCAGCTGACATATTTTTGTTAGGCAGTTATTTAGAATATTAAATAATTTTAAAGCAAAGAGACGATTCATTTTGTGCGACAAAGGCAGGGTTGTATTTGAAATTATGTCGATTTAGCATAGCATTTGAGTGGATTTAATTTTGTATGGTAAATCGAGGTAAATTCCGAATCGAGATAATGGACATTATAAGGATAAAGTCTATAGTCTATACGCGTCTTGAACTTCCGATTCCAAATTGCGTCACTCTGAATTATGAAGATGCATGACATATTTTAGAAAATTTGAAAATATTTGAAATATAAATTATTTTGATATTCAAAAATACTAATTGCTTTCTTCTTTAAATTAATGATTAATTTTTGTGTGTAAAACAATGTTTATGTATGATTTCATGAAATATAGGAACGTTTTTCATATAATTGTTACTTTGAAAAACCCCTGCTGGAATTATTTTTTGCAATTTTTATTTTATTGAAATTTGAAGTAAATATCATCATACTTCAAATTCAGTTGTAAGCATATGGTCCTAATTTTCATCCACAAAACTAATTTCTATGTATAATTTCATAAAACGCATGCATATATTTCCCATTTTGAACATAAGTAATGCATATGGCCTAATTTTAGGAGTAAAACATAAAAACAACACTTAAGTATAAATAAATTATTTATAGTTAGGATTGGAGCGTCGGATAATTTCCATTTTCTGTACGAAACATCCTTGAAGTAGTAGTAATGTATGCGCAAAATCAAAATCAAAAAATCTATCTCTAATAAATATTGCGATTTCTATGGTGATGTCAACAGACAGATGGGTATGAGCAAATCGACAAAGAATTTTATTCTGATCGAGAATATATTTGCTTTATGGGTGAATATATATCGAGGTGTTGCCTAGGGAATAGCAAATTTAAAATACATTTCACTTTTTTTAACAAAGATTTTTTTAATATTCCTTTTGCTAAGCGGATGCTAGTAAATTAATATTAAAAGTTTTATTCCTAAAAGTATGCAATACATTTCAAAAAATTAACTCTTCATTCGTTTAACTGTCAGAAACGTTTTATAGGTTTGCCTACATTTCAAATAAATATTATAAAAATGGACCCCTAAAAGTATGCACCATTTTATGTTAAATTCTCCTCTAAAATAATTTTTTTATTAGTCACAATGAAATATTGCTTAATTGATGTACATTCATCTCCCAAACACTATGCCACTATGGCAGAGACACT